CTGACTCTGTATATAAATCAATGATAAATAAACGTTGAATTAACTTACCTGTGGTATATAGTCGTCCTTTCACCTCAAAAGCTGTTTTTTGAGCGATTTTGAATGAATTAGAGTTCGCCGTTGACTGTTCCATATATAAGAAGGACAAGGGAGGAATCCTTGTTTTGAAAGGGTTCCAGCGCCGGAGCGATTTTCCCCCCCCCAAAATCGCATCACTCCGCTTTCAAACTTCGCAGCATAAAGGTCAAAAGATTCACGATTCTTCTCGTACCTTCCAATCAAAAATCCATCCAAACGGCCCGGAGCTAGCCCTCGAAGAACATCAAAATCCCACAGTATTTGAGCGACTGGAATGCATAGCAAGATCCATACGTGCCAGCCACAAACCGTCCCGCTGATTGCCCCTTTCTGATCGGACAATGACCTACTCAAAATACTTAACGAGGATTGGGAACCACAGGCATTTTAGTAGCCCTTCAACTGTTTACCCACCAGACTCGGGTCGTGTGTCTTGACGCTCACCGGAAGCCACTTACATTTCCGCTCATTGTTCGCGTCCGCAAATGAATGAACAGGGGAACAGATTGTTTTGGGTTTTCCTGCACATTTGGATGTTGACAGTGTTCAGGCGTTCGTCTTCGCTGTCGATATGTAACCCACATACATGTTAGCTGGTTTTATTGTGTTCTACCCGAGGAATTTATAAAAATGGAGAGGTAACGAAATATTTTCTAACTTTTTAATGAATTTTATCAACAAAGAAACAGCAGCGTAAGTTTTATGTTGAAACATACACCTTCTTCTTTTCCATTCAGAGATTCTAACACCTTAACCGTGGAACAATCCGAGATCATCAAGGTCGCCGAAGCCGGGCACAATATTCTTGTCACTGACCAAGCGGGTACAGGAAAAAAAAGGATTTACGCAGGAAAAAGGATTTACGCAGGAAAGGAAGAAAAGTTGCCATTGTTTGTTCAAGTGGCATCGCTGGAACTGTATATTTAAGAGATGGAACCACCGGGTCGACGGCTCACGCTTTTTACGGCCTGCGTACTGCTGATCTTCCAGCCAACATGGTAGTCGAAAGATCGGTAGCGAACAATTTAGTATGCGAACGTGCTAGAGAAGCAGATACTTTTATCTGGGATGAGATAAGTATGACGAGCAGGCGTGTCTTTGAGCTGGCGAATAAAATTCACGAGCTTCTATCATCTCACGGCGAATCAAAGTATCTCTTCAGCAGAAAACAAGTGATTTTAGTTGGTGATTTCAGCTTCGCCCTGTTGCAAACTTCTTTGACCTAGGAAGATTCGTTTTCGATTCTCCTCTTTTAATCAAGTCGATTCCTCATCGATATGAATTAAAAATGTTGCTGCGTCAAAATGAAAACGAGAAGGAATTTGTCACCTGTCTGTGAGAAGTGCGCATGGGAAAGTGCAGCAATATTTCCCACACTTTCATCAAAAGCCTGGCTCGGCCTCTTTCAGATGAAGTGAAAGAAACAGCGACTCATTTTTTTCGAGCGCTTGTCAGTTCAATTTTTCAACTCACAGGTCCTGTTTATGTTGCCGGGTGACCTGTTTACTTTTGAAGCAATTGATGAAGGAGATGCAAGTGGATTACAGTGTCCTGCAAGGTCATGTTGCTTAGGAACAAGTCCAACTCTCTTGTAAATGGATCACAAGGCACATTTGTTGGTGTTAGGGGTGACGATGTTGTGGTTGATTTTGCTGAAGAGGGGCATGTGGTTGTAAAGAAGAGACATTGACAAACACCTCCAGGACTGGTAACGCCATCAGGAGTCGCACGCAAGTCCCTCTAACCTTGATGTATGCTATCACATGCCATAAGTCCCAAGGACTTACCCTCCCAGCGATTGCTGTTTGCAGCTGACTGCCAGCCCGCAAATGTGATTTTTGGCAATTCATTCCATTCACATTGGTTTGATGTTGTTGCAGAACATTCCAACTTCCTCTTTAAATTTAGATATCCATGCTCTCGTACCCCTCCTTTGGATCTTCTACGTTGAGATATTACAACCTCTCCGCTGTTCACCCAAAGTTCTTTTATGGCCTTAGTAATAAGGCGTACCGGGACATCATCAGCCAAAGTATTCTCCTTTTTCATTTCGATAAAGTCGTGGATATCCTGACTATACGAGAAGGCTTCATTTTCTATCTTGTAGCTTTGTATCAGCCTAGAATGAACCGATAGCGATAAATCAATTTCAATCACCGATACAATTCTGACGTTGGGATAAAGTGTAACTTACCAGACTTTAAGAGACACCAATATCTGGTCAAAATTCGTTCCAATTTTCCTCTTTTTGATAATGTTTCCCTCGTCATTCGCTTTCAGAGTGGACAACATTTTCTTTGCATTCAAAGTCTATAAACCGATCAGCCGGGAATGGAATATTTGAATATAAAACAATCTGTTCCCCTGTTCATTCACTGGCAGACGCGAACAATGAGCAGAAATGTAAGTGGCTTCCGGTAAGCGTCAAGACACACGACCCAGGTCTGGTGGGTAAACAGTTGAAGGGTCACTAAAATGCCTGTGGTTCCCAACCCTTGTTAGGTATTTTGAATAGGTCATTGTCTAACGTCGTCCAATCAGAAAGGGGCAATCAGCGGGACGGTTTGTGGCTGGCACCTATGGGCTGGCACCTATGGGCTAGCTCCGGGCCGTTTGGATGGATTTTCGATTGGAAGGTACGAGAAGAATCGTGAATCTTTTGACCTTTTTGCTGCGAAGTTTGAAAGTGGAGCGATGCGATTTTGGGGGGAAAAATCGCTCCGGCGCTGGAACCCTTTCCAAGGATTCCTCCCTTGCCCTTCTTATATATGGAACAGTCAACAGTGAACTCAAATTCATTCAAAATCGCTCAAAAAACCGCTTTTGAGGTAAAAGGACGACTATATACCACAGGTAAGTTAATTCAACGTTTATTTATCATTGATTTATATACATAGTTAGCGATACATCGCTATAGGTGAAGCAAACGGGTAAATCCAGTACATTTACTGTAAAATAACAATCGGCTACACGAACAGATTGTGTTGGCTCCCTGTGATGGGACAGGCCTATCACTTTTCCAGCATTCGGACACTGAAAATCGTGGCACAGAGCAAAGAAGATTTAATTTTATCTCCAGGATGGGCAAGAAAGTGACAAAACTATCGGAAAGTTACACACTTGTACCAGGAGTCACTGTTACAAAAAGCAAGGTTCCTGTTCCAGAAGTTTGTGGACTACAAAAACCTGGCTGCAGTCTCATGAGTAAAGCTGTAGCACAAGAGAATGATTCGTGCAATCACCTTAGCAAGATAATAACTGAAGGAAATTATGATACTGCTTGTGGGAGGGCCGAATTGCACGTATCTTGGGCAGCATACCACTCGAGAAGACGAGAACAAGCTGTGACCCGAGTCCATGGCCCTGCAGCAGTCACTGCTCTTCTTCCTCTCTTCCTGGATGACTTAAAATCACTGGCAATGATTTGTCATTCCATGAATATGATGCTTGTGCTCTGTACAAGCTTCGGCAGGCATCGTATGTTGAGTGGCAAACATGTCAGCCAGAATGTAACGCCCCATTATTTGATGAATGGTGCAAACAGAGAGCAGCTCAAAAGGCACAGTTCCATTTCTGAAAACTTGTGCTCAGCACCGAGTTGGATGTCCTGGCGTGGGACAGATCAATCCATGAAGGGAACTTCCTTTTGTATGTGGAGGCTTTGACAAGACTTCAGTGGCTGTTCCATTCCCTTGACCACTACAACTACGCACGTGCCATTGCTAGCCATCTGCGTGACATGGTTATGCTTAGAGACAAACATCCTGGAATATTTGCAGAATTTTGCAAGGGAAAATTCACAGTTAACAAGACACAGCGACCATTTTCTAGAATGGCTTTGGACGAAAGCCATGAGCAGAACAATGCCTGCGTGAAAGGAGATGGAGGTGCAGTTGGTCTCACCGAGAACTCATCGGCACTACTAAGATGGACGGTGTCTGGACCAGAAATGTCACAGTGTTTTAGACAAGAAGGAAACAGTATCACAGCTTCATCACCACGAGGACCAGCCACGTGACTAAACTTAGTTTTGGTTTATGTAGTTTTTTTTCCCACCCTTTTTAATACCCACAGTCTTTGGTACCACTGACGATTGTTAATGATTCGTAATCGTAAGACTGCTATAATTACAATACTTTTTTTATCGTTTGTTTTAGCAACACAAGCATCTCTTCTCAAGAATTTAGTTGAGACCATGCACAATATGGGCAACCCATTCACTGATACCAGCAGTGATCTCTTAGTTCTTGATAGACCGGAGTTAAGGAATGCAGCCGTCATTGATTCTGTCAGTAATTTGAAAGAGCTTGGCGAACGTCAATGCAGCGAGTTCTTTAACTGCCGGCTAGTACAACATACAACTCCAGTCACTGATAGGATACCAAGGAATAATGTACCTTTATTTAGATGGAGTCCTGACAATTAAGGCAAAAACCCATACGCAGGAACAACTGCTGGCCATGAAACAGGACCGGCATTTGTTTTCAACTGTATACATCGTTAGTCAAGTGCGAGATGCTGATCTTCCAACATGAAAACCAGTCGTCGCCACCTTCAATATCTGACAATGGAAAGTTGAGACTAGCAACAAAGTCCAACCTACTTCTATGTCTGGAAGATCTCCTACCATTAACTGAAGGAGCAAACAGCTTAGTNGCTTGTGCTCTGTACAAGCTTCGGCAGGCATCGTATGTTGAGTGGCAAACATGTCAGCCAGAATGTAACGCCCCATTATTTGATGAATGGTGCAAACAGAGAGCAGCTCAAAAGGCACAGTTCCATTTCTGGCAACTTGTGCTCAGCACCGAGTTGGATGTCCTGGCGTGGGACAGATCAATCCATGAAGGGAACTTCCTTTTGTACGTGGAGGCTTTGACAAGACTTCAGTGGCTGTTCCATTCCCTTGACCACTACAACTACGC